CTTTGTTACAGTCATATGGATATATGAAGGCACATTCCCACTGTAAGGTAGTCTTGGCCTGGTTCCAGGAAGAACTCTTGTTTTTTCTAGTTCCATACTGCTTCTGTTGTGACTGTGTGTGTTTATAAAGTTAGGCTTTTAATTAAATTTTAAAATTCTTCTCTTTCTTTGACTGTTCTGTGCCTTTCACCTACCCTGAAGACGTTTTCTTATCATTTGTTACAACTCGGAGCTGGTGGGTCTCTCTTGGAAGATCCAGAAAGGACTTGTTTTTTATTTGCCTTTTAGCAATCTTTAACAATTCAGGTTTAGTCATTTAGTATAAGGTAGTTTGGGGACCTCACTGTTCAAATTAGAGTGAAATAATGATAAAAATATCATCTGATAACATACTGTTCTTTGCCCTGTGACTTAAGAGAAATGAAGCATCATTTCTTCTCTCAGCTTTTTGCTTCCAGAGCCTGGAGCCATTACTGACATAATACTTCAAATACAGTTGGTTCTTGGTAACCCCTGCAGCCTGCCTTTGTAACTTGCCTTCAGTTACTGAGTTCTCCAGAACAAAGCATCTTAAAACAGCAAAACGTATAACAGGAATTTAAAGCAGACACTTTAAGTGGTTGCATCACACCCCCAATCTTTCCAGCTGTTCTCTCCCCTAGGCATTCCTTCCCTACTTCCTTTGTAGAACCCAAAGTATCTGAGCTTATTCAGAAAAAGAATTCCTGGCCCTATGTGCCTGCCACAGCCAAGAATAAGATAACGGAGCTGCGTGGCTATCCGCTCAGTTCTCCTTTGGCTTCTGATTATTTCTCTCTGCATCAGTTCACATGTGCCCAAGTTTCTCTTCCTTCTTCACGTTTGTCCTTTCTTATGGCACAGTAATATTCCATTGTATTCCTATACCACAACAATATAAAAGAAAACATCATGGAAAGACTTAAATATTCCGAAGAAAGGGCCAGATTAGAGTAAGCAGAATAGAGAAGGGATGCATTTAACCAGTAAATCAGGTATTTATTGAGCTCTTGGTAGATGTAAGACACTGGGCTAAACACTCGTGGTGAATACAGAAGAGTATAAAATATGAAACTTTTTGGTCTCGATCTCCTCATTTCTGTCAGTGCCCTAAAAGAGTTTACAATTTATGATGAGACCCCAGAACAAAATATTAACTAGTATAACAAGACAGTTAATGATAAGTTTTGGATGAGTGGAACATTGCAAGTATTTGAGCAGCTTAGTCAAGAAAGATCACAGTGGTCAAGGTGGTCAGGGAAGGCTTTATGGGGGAAGGGGGACTTGTGGTTTTTATGATTTGCTTTTTTTTTTTTTTTGAAGGAGTAAACAACTTTATTGGGCAGCACAGTGAGAGAAATAAAGTAAGACAAGAGATATGAATGACTGGGATGAGAAGAACTCACCAAGAGATGGGGTTCCATAATGACACCTATGTTATTATATTCAAAGTGACTCCATTTCCCAGCAGGTAATGTGCTGAGTAGAATAGACTGCAAAATCGGCTGGGAAATGTACTTTCTGTACCCCACAAAGTTCTCATTATCATATGACTACCATGCCCAGACCAATTTCCATGGTAATGCCACGTTCCCTTCATCTCCTTTTCCCATTCATATTACAAAAGGAATTTTTTTAAAAATCGCATTTTCTAGATCCTAAAATGGTCTTCAGGATTTAGCTTACAGGAAACTTTAGCATTTAGCTCATCTTCCAAAGAGATGATTAAATCTAGGAGATGGAGAGGTGGACTTAGGCCAGTAAGGATCCTTTTCTCACCTTCACCAACCATTATGGGCACACAGGGAAGTAAGGACGGGCTGAGATTAGGGTTGCACTCTAATTTTCCCCCAGCACAATAAGTCTTCCAAGGCTTGATAGGAGAGCTGAGGTAGTGTGACTTGGGTTGGGGGAGAGGGATTCAGTCATAGAACTGGACAAGAAGGAGAAAGAATGTTTGCCATACCTTGTGGTATTTATGCATTTTCTTATTGTTGTTTAGTTGTTTTTCAGTGGTGTCTGACTCTTCATGACCTCTTTTGGGGTTTTCTTGGCAGAGATAGTGGAGTGGTTTGCCATTTCCTTCTCCAGATCATTTTACAGATGAGGAAACTGAGGCAAACAGGGTTAAATGTCTTGCCCAGGGTCACAGAGCCAGTAAGCTCAAGTCTTCCTGACTCCAGGCCTAGCTCTCTACCTACTGTGCCACCTAGCTGCCCATTTTTCTTATTTGTATTCTTCACATGCCTACATCTGGCCCCACTATCTTATGGGCCAAGCAATTCACAGGAGGATAGATGGATAGCTGGGTATCTGGGTTGCTACCCGGACCCTAAAACAGTATGCAGAAGATTCGTTAGGAGTCTCCTGTGGTTGAAGAGGGGTACCTGGAGGGAAGGCAGGATTGGTTAATTGAGGATAGGGTTACCCAGATGTTGGGGGGAGAGTGTGGACCTCCCCCAAAAAGGACATTTCTGGCTGGTCTTTCTTAGGGTTCCACATGTACCGCTATTGTTTTGTCTCCACAGGAGCTAACGTTCTCCTCCCACACCAACCCCCCAAAAGAATCCCTGAGCTGAATCTTTAAGGACAGAGAGGAACCAGAGAGTCAGGAGGACAAAGGGGCCAAGGCAGCAGGGCCAGAATGATCAAAAGCCAGCAGATGTGAAAAAAGTTTGGAAGCATAGGTCTAGATTGTGAAGGGCTCTGAAAGCCAGACAGAGTGGCTTAGATCAAATGCAGTAGGCAATTAGGGGACCATTATCGATTCTTAGGCAGTAGAGTGGCATGTTGAAAGCTGCGTTTCAAGATGATTATTCTAACAGTGATATTCAGGGCCAGGGACCAGGAAGGAAGCCAGCTAAGAAACTGTTGGAGGTCACTGAGACAAGAAATCTGAAACCTTGAACTAGGGAAGTAGCAGTGGGAATGGAGAAGATGGAAAAGAATGAGGAATATCCAGAGGGGAAATGAACAATATTTAGTAACTGAAATCTAGTGTATTAAGAAAAGGCAGGGGTCAGAAACAGTTCACAGGTTTTAAACCCAGGAGAATAGTCATGCTATTGATCAAAAAAGGTTAATCAGAGAGGAATCTAGCTAAGAAGAAGATAATGGACTATGCTTGTATATATTGATTTGGAGATGATGGTAGGGCATAAGGGTAAAAATTTCTAGCAGGAAAGAGCTATGAATTGTCTTAGTAGTTCCAGATGTCCATTTGGTATTATGCACGAAAAGGACTACATGATCAGTTCATACCCTTGGTTGCAGCAATACCACTACGCAGCAGAATCAAAAGTCCATTGTACTGTTTGTGGTCATAAAGAACCAGAAATAGAGTGGATGCCCATAAATTGAGAACTAGTTACATAAACTGTGGTTTGTCGATATAATGAATGTTCACATATTTATTAGTGCCAGGGTAGCTAAGTGGATGTCAAGGATGTCAAAAGGGTGGCCAGTGCATCTCTTATAACGGTGGTCAGCAGGAATCAGGGCAGTGACAAGATTGTTAGATTTGTTGAAGAGGTCATTGATGACCTAAAAGTAACAGAGGAGACAGAATCCATTTGTAGGCAATTTTATTAGGGAGGTTGTGGCAAGGGATGGAGCGGGTACACAGGCCCCAACCCCATGCTCTTCTTACAGTTCTCTTCCTCTTGAGGCAGCTAGATAGTGTAATGGATAAAGCCCTGGGCCTGGAGTCTGGAAGACCTGAGTTCAGATGTGGCCCCACACACTTACTAGCTGTGTGATCCAGGGCAAGTCGCTTCACCTCTGTTTGCCTTAGTTTCCTCAACTATAACATGAAGATAATAACAGCACCTATGTCGCAGGGTTGTTGTGAGGATCAGAAGAGGTAATATGTGTAAAATACTTAGCGCAGGGCCTAGCACATAGTAGGCACTATGTAACTGCTTATTCTTTTCTTACTTCCCTTCTCTTGGGATTCCCCAACACTACACTAGTATTCGGTGTTGTTCGCTTATTGTTTCCTTCAAGGCTTTTCTTGGTAACTATTGAGAGTATTCATCAAGGCGTCTCAGCCCATTCCAGTCTTTTCTTCTTGCTCGTCTTCTCATTCTTGCAGCTTTCACTCTCACCTCCCTTCATGTTCTACCGCTCTTCTTATCTGATCAACTGTTCACACTCAGGGATGTCAGTTCTGTCAGCTGCCCAGGTTCAAAACCTTGAAATCATCTTTGGTTTTTTGTCCCTCACATAGACCAAGTCCTGTCAGTTCTTCCAGTCTAGTATCTTGTATCTCTTGTATCTGTTTCTTGTTTCCTGAGATCTCTCACCACATCACCCCATCCTACATACTGTTGATAGATTAATCTTTATCTATAACACCATTTTGTGGCAACTCACTTAACATCTTGGAGCTTCCATTTCTTATCTATAAAATGAGAGAGTTGTGTTAAGTGATCTCTACGCTTCTGTAATTTCTATGTTATGTCATTCCTCCATTCAGAAATGTTTTAATGGCTCTATGTCTGCATGATAAGGTCCAAACTCTTTAACCTTGCACAATCAATTTCCAACCTACCTTTTCAGACATTTCCCCTACTGTATTGCCTTACTTGAACTTTCCAGACTGATCCCTCACATATCTTGCATTTCTGCATCTCAGTATGTTTGTTCAGTCTGTTCCTTCCATTTGATCCTCCCCCATACCTATCTCAATCTATTTGTCAGGGTCCAACCCAGGTCCCTCTGTGAAGCCATCACAGACCTTTCTGCCCTGCCGTGATCTAATATCCATATCCCCCATTTAACCTTTAACCATATGCTGCCATATAATTTATGCTTTGACTCCCCTAACAGATTATGTTGTTTGTGGGCAGGGCCTCATACATTTTTTTAACTTGCTTACAGCACCTCAGTTCTGTGATTTGGCCACAGAAGATACTTAGCAAAAATTTGTTGTTTATGATTTATGGAGTAGTTAATGTTTATCCCAACATTGTATTTTGCAGTGATGCAGAGAGTCGGAAATTGTGCAAGAAGATGAAAGTTGACCCGAGCACAAAGGACAAAAAAGTGGAATTACTTCACTACAAGTGAGTGTGAAGGGATGTGGGGCCCTTGTAATTTCTAAATAGCCATATGAGGCCTTCATCAGTACTAACAGTGAACCCACTAGATTGGTGTTATTTCAGATGGAGATCTTACATTTTTAACTAACTGACTATGCCTGGGATGAAAAGGAAAACAGAATTGTGTCTCCTCCTGGCTGTACTTTAAATCTCAACACTTTTTTCTTTCTCTGTTTGACAGGGATGGCGCGTTTCACACTGAATATAATCGTGCAGTGACATTTAAGGTAAACCAAATTCTTTGATTTTCAGCAGGGGTAGGAGTCTGAATTGCTGTTAAGTATTTGGCAGTTTTCTTTTTGAAAGGAAGCAGGGCAAATTCTACAAACAGTTGTTTTGAATCTCATAAAGGGATTTTTCTTTCTTAAGCATCTCAGTAGAATATCTCAAATATATACGTGTGTATACATATATGTATATATGTGTGTGTATGTATATATGTTATACTTAAAATTCGAATAACATAAGAATACAGAAAAATGGTCAGTTAATCAGCAATTATATAGCACAATAGTGACCATAGCACTGTTGTTACCCAATGGGTGGGGACTTTTCCTTATGTCTCTGAAAGCCTCCCTTATGTCCTGTACTCCTCTCCTATTGTAATGACGACGGTAATGAAATACTTCAGACCAATGATCTTGAGTGCAGGTACAAACTGTGTACCGGTTGGAAAGTTACAGATATGTTGGCTCTGTTCCAACTGAGAAAATCAATGGTATCTAATCCAAACCAGTCCCTATCCTTTTGTCTGGGTATTTCTGTTCAGCCCAATTGTGCTTCAAACCCTTCTGCCCATCCCTCATTTTTACCTCATTTCCAAACTCTATTTTCTTTTTTTAACTGTAGTTTCTGTTTGTGACTAAGACTGAGTTGCCAGGTTTCTTCTCACCTAAAGCATTCTCCTTTTCTAATCTCTTCTCCCAACTGGCCTGGGATCCCTTCTAATTCTGTGGCACTCAGAGCCATTCTCTGTGTCCTGACAGAACCAGAAGATTCCCTGTCCCAGCCACGTGGCACATGATTACTTATTGCCTGTTTGGCAGTTGTAGTGAGGACTGATGATTTGCAGACTGTATATCCAAGTCTACATTAGATTCTGAAATAATCAGATTGATTTTACTGGTTGGTTATGGAGAAATGTAAACCTCCTTCCTGAATCACATGCTTTGGCTGGGAGTTAGAAAGATGGCACTTGAGCTGAAACTTCCAGGAAGATGAATATTCTGAGAGGCAGAGATGAGGAAGGACTGCAAGTCAGGCATAAAGGATGCCTTATGCAAAGACCCAGAGGCAGAAGATAGGGGAGTCCAGAGAACAACTAGTGGTCCTGTTTGATCACTGAAATTCAAAACGCATGCAGGTAAGTCCCATGAAGTAAAGATGGAACAAGCAGTTCCAGTCACATGGCAGATGGCTCCAAACAAGCCTGAGGAGTTGGTTGTTTATCCTAGATGCAGAAGGAAACCACTGCAGGTATTTAAGCATGAGAAATAACACAGTCAGACTCTGCCTTTGGAGGATGCATTAGAAAGACGGAATAAGTGGGGCCAAAGAGACCAATTAGTGGCCATTCCATAATCCATGAGATAGGTGATGATGGATCTGAACTGTAGTTCATAATTAACATTGAAATAACTTAAAAGAAGCTAGAATTAACCCAGCAACCCATGTATTTGTGATGTGCTTTCTAGAACTTAAGCACAAGATCAAAGAATATGGAAAAGGATCCACATGTACAAAAATAACTTTAGTAGCTTTTTGTGGTAACAAAGAATTGGAAACTGAGGGGATGTCCATCAATTGGGGAATGGCTGAACAAGCTGTGGTATGCAATTGTAATGGAATACTGTTGTGCTACAAGAAATGATGAGGGGGCTGGTTTCAGAAAAACCTAGAAAGATCTATATGAATTAATGCAGAGTGAAGTGAGCAGAATGAGTAACAGTAGTATTGTAATGGTGTAAAAGGCTTAGCCACTCTGATCAGTACAGTGATCCAAGGCAATTCTGAAGGACTCATGATGAAAAATGTTCTCCACCTCCAGAGAGAGAAGTGATGAACTCTTGAGTGTAAATTGAAGTATAATTTTTCTGGCTTTATTTTTCTTGCTTATTTTGGTGACATGGCTAATGTGGAAATGTTTTGCATGGTTTCACATATATAATTGATATAGTGCTTGTCTTCTCATTGGGTGGGAGAGGAGATGGAGGGAGGGAAAGAATTTGGAATACAACATCTAAAAAAATAAATAAATAATAAATTGAAGGGTGAAAAAAAGTTTAATTTTAAAGCCAGTATTTTACCTGCTTTCAGCATTTCTTCCCTGTCTGAGGCTTTTCAGAGTGATTTAAACTCTGAATATTAATTAAAAACGCAAATATTAATACAGCAGAATTTTCCCTCTGACCTTATTCAGATTGAAGTGCAAATTAGTCTAAGACTAATCTAATCTAATCTCTTTCCCACTTTTGCCAAGTTTCATATGACTTTGTTTTGCTGAGTGAAAGTGGGACTAATTGTGAAGAAAATATGGATCTGCCTGCCTTCTGGTTCATATCACCTGACTCTGGGACATCTAATTTGCTCTGTTACCCCTCTCTTAGATTCCTCTTCTCAGCTTTCAAAATCTCCATACAAGGCAACTTAAACAACAGATTTTTAATAACTTATCTTTTTTTTTATTTTAAATGAGGTTTCCATAAAGGAGCTGACTTTTTAAAAAATGCTACATTTTAAAACGTTTTTCATTTTAAAATTTGATACATTTTATATTGAAAATAGATCCTTCTAAATAAATACTCCCACAATCTCCTTTACAAAGTAACTTAGCTAGGGGGCAGCTCGGTGGTGCAGTGGATAGAGCACCAGCCCTGGAGTCAGGAGGACCTGAGTTCAAATCCAGCCTCAGACAATAACCCCAGTTGCCTCACTAACAAAAAAAAAAAACAAAAAAACAAAGTACCTTTAGCTAAAAAAGTTAGCTTATTGATTGTTAATAGAAAGGAAGAATGTAGCCTTTAACTCTGACAGGGTAGTACAATGCCATGACTATTGTGTCTGAGCAGACTTATGTTGACATTGATTCACATTGTCAGAATCGTTGTATGGATTGTTCTTTTGGTCCTGCCTACTTCACTCAGTATTGCTTCATACAAGTCTTGCCATGTTTTTCTGAATTCTTTACTCTGTCATTCCATTCCATTTCCACACACTAATTTGTTCAGCCATTCACCCATCGCTGGATGTATTTAGTTTCAGCTTTTTGGCAACATCAGTGTTTACATGATTGTTTTTGTTCATAGAGGTCTTAGAGTAGATAGAGGTCAGTAACATCCTTAGGACGCAGTGCTACTAGTGCAGGACTTCTTAACTTTGTATCCATGAACTTGTTTTTTTTTTGTCTGTTTGTTTTGGTTTTTGGTTTTTGGTTGGGCAATGGGGTTTAAGTGACTTGCCCAGGGTCACACAGCTAGTAAGTGTTATGTGTCTGAGTACGCATTTGAACTCGGGTCCTTCTGAATCCAGGGCCGGTGTTCTATCCACTGTGCCACCTCGCTGCCCCCTATGAATTTGTTTTTTAAAAAATATTTTGGTAACTGTATTTCAGCATAATTGATTTCCTTTCTATTTCATTTTCTATGTATTTTATGCATTTAAATTTTTCCTGAAAAGATGCATTGTCTTCCATGTATAATTAGGAAGACATTACATCTATCTGCCATAATGTTTAACAGGGTGATGACCTGGAGCATCATATCTTGTTTTCCTAGTGTTCCCAAAGCCTTTCTCCCCTTTGACTGTCCCAGAATCCAGCTCTGAAGAGTAAATAATAGTGAGGCAAAAGATAGCAAAAACTGTGCAGTGCAGAGTTTCATTGGATCCTTCTCAGCGATTTAGCCCCAGAGAATATGGATTCAAATTTCAGCTCCGTTGCTTCCTGCCTGTTTGACCTTGGGCAAATCACTTAACCTTCTTGGGCTTTAGTTTCCCTGTCTATAGAATGAGGGGTTTGGACTAAATGACCCTAGAGGTCCCCTCTAGCTCTAATTCTGTGAACATATAATATTTGCCATATTGTGAAAACTTAACTGTAGCCCACAGTGAGAGCACCTGCACAGTTATTGTTTTTCCTTTCTCCCCATCTGAACTTGCCTCACCCCTCCCAACCTCTACCAAGATACTCAGAGAGATCATTCAACTTTATTTAAATAAGAATTAGCCTCAAAGCTCAAAAGATTGTCCATATGTTTAATTTCTTCAATCAAAAGGTGTCATTTCCTTCAGCCACATTTGTTCCCTTCTCATGGCTGTGAGGCAAGGCTACATTATCAGTGGGTGAAAACTTAGCAAGCACTTAGTGGGATATATCCTGAATGGCAAAAATGAGAAGGGGACCACAAGTGCCTTTGTGTGGCCTTCTTTGAAGGAACTCTGGCCTATCTTTGGCTATGGACATATAAGGCATTTGGGAGGGCTGAATCCAAGCCATGCCTTCTCATACCCCATGATAAAAGGGTTGGCAACTGTCCAGGAAATAATCCCTTTGGCTTCGGTGGAAAGAAAGGTTGGTTCTTCTCTTCTGATGCCAGAAGGTACTTCACAGCTTTTTTTCTTTTGGCTGGATGGGAAAATTGAATGAATTAAGCCCTTCTAATTCTTAGCCCTCCTCTCTATTCTTTCATAACAGCTGTTTCCAGATAACAGATTCTCAAAACGAGACAAGTCTCCCTAAGGCCCTCTCCAGGAATTTACTAAGTGAATAAGAACTAAGAGTGTAATCCCATTTGAAGGATTCTCTCCTGTCGTTCCCTCCTGCCCCAAGACTGTCACTATTCACTGAAGCTTGCTAAAAGGTGTCCTTAGAATTGGAAGGCACTTGCTTGGGCAGATCAGGGAAAGCTAAGGATTTTATCTTGCTTAACACAGAGTTTGGCATCTCCTAGTCTGGCTTTGAGGGATGGTGGTACAGGTGACATTTAGCACCCTTTTGTGTTTGCAGCTTCCCTCAGACCTGTTCACTGTCCTCTCCTTAAGGTTCTTCAAAGAAAAAGGGATGGCCATTCTCTGCTCTCTGTTCCACCTCAGTGCTGTTGGACCAGGGCTGAAAGCAGATATACTAAGGGGGATCCATAAATAATTACTAGTTTATAACTTCCTTTACTCCCTCTTTGCTCCAGTGTTATAGAGCTATCAACCAGTATCATGCATTTTGATTGATAGTTCAGCCTATAAGTGACAGTGGATACAGAACCTAAGAGGATGGTTAGCAGCCTGGCTTCCCTTTTCACTCAAGATTTAACACAAGATGGCCTTACTTGATGCAGCTCTTGAGCTGTTGCTTCAGAAATACTGGAGCAACTGTGATCAATGTAATCCCTCAGATTGTTGCTTACTATCTTCTGTTACTTCGTAAGTAACTTGGTGGAAACCAGGGGAAAGTTTGGAGAGGACTTCCAGCTTGGGCCTGGTGGTCCTTGAACTGTACAGTACCCCAAGAGAAAGGAGTGATCATGTCACTTTCTTGCTTGTACCTTTCAAATGAACTAGAAAATTAAGACAATTATTAAAATAATAAAGGTCCCCCAGATCCTTTTTTCATTAAGTACCTATCATAAGATAAGAGATTTTATTTAGAGCTGGAAGGGATCTCAAAGATCATGTAATCTAGTGTTACTTTTTTTTTTTAATAAACACATGAGAAAACTGAGGCCTGAGAGATTCAGTGATTTATCAGTTCTTTATTACCATAAACCTTTGCAGATGATAAGGTGCTAAGTAATGTAGAGAAAAAGTAGTGCAGACATAAACTTTTTCTTCAAGGAGCTCCCAGTTGGAGACATTGATGCAGGCAGACGTGGAGAGGAGGCTATACATTAATTAATGTGAGGCTAATATAAGTACTAAACAGGTAACAATCTGTTAAGATTACATAATTATGTTATATATAGGCAGTCTCAATGACAGAGTGAGCGGGAAAGAGTCATGGGAGTTTGCTGTTTAGACAAGGTAGAGTGGGAGTAAGTTGTCACCTCTTTTCCAATTAGGGGAGGCATCTTTGAGGAGATGAGATTTTGTAATTGAGGCATACATGTCTCATTCTGGTTTGAATTGTCCAAACAGTTGCCTTATGGTCTGTAGATACAGCCTACACATGCATCAGTTTGACCAGAGTGAGTGAAAGGACCTGTTTGGACAGTTGGGGAAAGGAAGGAAAGGAATGGGTAGTAGTGGATTCTTTTTCCTTTTTGAAAGACAGACTCAACATTTGATCTTGGCTGTGTAGTTGTATCAGTCATGAGATAAAACCTTATGGGTGACACACTCCCTTGCATGTACAGGGGAGAAGAGCGGGGTACTCTGAGTGTCTCATATCTCTCAGATAAAATACTTTTTTCTGTCTTCTTTCCTATTTTAGTCCATAGTGGCCTTTCTGAAGGATCCAGAAGGGGCCCCACTTTGGGAAGAAGATCCTGAAGCTAAAGATGTTGTCCACATTGACAGTGAAAAGGTATTCAATTTCCCCAAACTGAATGTATTCTTATTTATGTTGGAATTTACTTCTGAACTTGAGTCCAGGCTGTTGTGAGTCACTTGAGAAGAAAATAAACAGAGTAAACTGAGGAAATTCAGAATGCTACAGTATTTCACACTGCTTACACTTTCTTCTAGGGGAGTTGGCCTAGTGGGCTCTATGGGTGGAAGTTGAGGGAGGGGGCTGAATCTTATGTTTTTATTTCATTTTCTGAAATTTAAATGATAGAGGGTAACAGACTGCTTGCCATCTCCGTCTTTTTAGCTTGTTTGCCAATAATTGTAAGTTTGTGTGGATGATGTCAGTAAGAACTCAATGAATCTTCTAGGAACAAAGCTTTATGATGAAAGTTGGCCATGATTTTTTTTTTAAACTAAGTACTTCACAAATCATGCAAAGCAATGTTGGCATGTATTATACAGCTAAGTGGAATTTTTTTTTATCAGATTACATGGGACAAAAACATTCAATTTGGTGCCCAATTGGAGATAAATGGGACCATATAACCTTTTTCCTATCAAAATAGTGCCATCATTATTTTATTGACTGGTTACCCTTATAAGTGAGTTCATTTCCTTCTTTGTGCGTTACATCTTAGGTTCTTTCCATTTTTGAACCTTTCATTGTAGGACAGAGGACATTGTCACTGTTAAAGAAATTTCAAGCCTCAGCAAGTAGGTGGAGAAAAAAATTTTAAGGTGTAGTGTACACCCTGACATCACTTCAGCCTAATTTCATCCCTTTATGGTGACTTTGTGATGGAAAGGGTGTAGGGGATGGTCTTCATTCGCTCCTGTTTCCCTGGCCCACTTCAGCTGCTGTCTACCTATTCTCATGAATTGCTAGGGATAGAGGATTACAGGCATTTGTCTCTTTCAGGGTTTGAAGCCTTTCCTACTATGCTCAATAGGCTCCCTTTGGTAAACCATCCCTTTACCTGCTTTGCTTCCTTCCCTGCCTGAACGTAGCTCATGGTCTTCTCTATTGTTCCTGACCTTAATTCCTTTGTCCTAGCACTTCTGAATACATATTTTTGGGGCTTGTATTTTTTAAAACATGTTTCCCATTGTTTCTGTTGGTTTGATGATATTTTCTTACAATGTTCTTTTTCCAGTGTCCTGAGTTGCATCCTCTTCTTTTGTAAAAGTAATATTCTAAAGTGAATTTAGCCCAGGTGGAATATGGGTTACAGTTAGTGGCAGAGTCTAAGTACCCATACAGTTAACTTCCAATTACTTGATTTTGGCAGATGTTTCAGCCCTCATAGAGTTCCCCCTGTTGTGAACATACTTAGGGGTTCCCTTTCTTATTTGTCAGTTGTTTTCAGTTTCAGAGATGGGACCTCATTTTAGTGTTAAGTTATTCTGAGCTCAGCTGGAGAGTATATCTGCTACCCAGAAAGGTCAAGAACCTTGGAGGGGACACAGGACACTGGTCCTAGCTGAGAGACCTTGGAGAAGTTAACATAACTCCTCTGAGTCTCTGAATGGAGTTTTCCCTTCTGCAAGATGAGACACAGCCTTGCTGCATCTGAAGCTCTAAGTCCATGTAGCATGCATCCTTACATGCCTCGTGTCTTATTGTCCCTGTTTTGGATCATCCATGATAGCTCCCCAGTCCATTAGCATAGATACTTGGGAGGTATCCGATATCTCAGATGTGTGTGTGTGTGTGTGTGTGTGTGTGTGTAGCTGTGATCTTTCTTAGAAATCTTGGCTTATGTAAGAAGCCATTCAGGTTTTGTAGAATGGATGCTAACATGATTTCCTTTTGTACATATGTTAACATAACTTGGGTTTTAAATTAAGCTTTTTAAAAATTTGACTCTCCTTTTTACAAGTACTGCTGTACATGTTCTCGCCTATGTCATTACTTACATACATTTCTGTTTTTTTCCTCTCAGGAATTCAGACGGATTGTGAAGAAGGATGACAAACCTCTTCTGATGATGTTTTATGCCCCTTGTGAGTGACCAGAGATCTGGCTTAAGGAACGTGGTTGATGTTTGGTTCCTTTCCCTCCCTAAGAGCTGGGAATGGGAAGTAGGCTCTCCTCAGATGCTTTCCTAGGTTCTCATTTCCATCTCTTCATTTGTCTTCATTTTCTCTTTTGGCTGTTTCCCTCTTCTGATTCAGTCCCCCCTCCTGGAGAATTCAGAGCCCATCATGCGTTCTGTCTTCAGCCTGCTTGCCCTCGCCCCTTTCCCTTCACTTCTGTAGCTCTTTCCTTTCTGTGTACCTGAGTTTTCCTTCAATCCCGTGCCTTTTTGCATGCCTGGAAGCACATGATTGTTCCCCAGTTCAATTTGTTCCTCTTGTCATTGCTGTTCTTTCCTTTCAGAAACTCTGACACCATATGTGAAAGTTTCTTCTTCTTGCTGATCCTGTGCCTTTCACATTCTAAAAGACTGTTTTTATTTCCAGTCACTGCAGTTGGTTACTTCCCTCCTTGAGCTCAGGATGTAGGATGCCTTTGCTCCTTGGGGTGGGATACCTTGTTGCTGTGTCACTGAGTGACCAAATAGAAAGTAAAAGTGTGCCAGGGGCGCCTGCACTTCATCTGAGATCAGTGCGCTAGAGTGTAAAAAACGCTGGACTCTAGGACCAGTCCGGAAACCAGGCTTGGCTCTGCTACTTATCACTTGGGAGACCTTGGCTAAGCCTGGTGGCCTCTGTAACCTCAGTTTCCTCATCTGTAAAGTGATTAATTAATCGCTTCTAACCCTAACATTCTATGTAATACAGATTTTAAAAAAATGTTGAAAGGGTATGTGCATGTCTATGTGTGTGCATATAAATATGGGGACATGTGTTTGAGGAGATGGGTGTATTTGAGTGTTGGGATATGGATATAAGCACATGAAGGTTAACATTGTCCTATTTCTCATCTGTCCTTTAAAGTCAGCTTCTTCCCTGAAGCCTTCTCTGAGCAAAATCTGTTCTCCTTTCCTTTTCACAGCCTTAATTCTCTGTGCACATAATCATCATTAATATCTCATGTTGACTGTTGCCAGCAGAGCTGGCATTTGAACCCAGCTCCTTGGATTCCACATTCCATGCTCTTTCCACTCTCCTGCACTTCCCTAGAACTGTGTGGGACTTTGGTCCTGGAGCACCAGTAAGAAATCCTCTGGTCCAGGCTCCCTTTATTTTCTAAAGGACCCCATTTCTGCTTTCTAAGCTAACTTATTTTGAAAGACTTTATCACCTGCCTTTTTGGAGAAATCCTATATACTCTGGATGATTTGCTTTGTTATCTTTTTTTAATATCATCTATCTTCTAAGTTCTCTTCCACTTATCTCTGTGTCTGCCACAGATAACCTTTCTGAGGGCCCATCTGTGTATCCTCCTCACTTGGTGGCCATGACTTCTCTTTATGTAATCCCATTGGGTTGATGATTCAGAGCTTGGGGTGCAGGTAGGGTATTCTGAGGAAGTAGCTAGGGATAATTAGTTTAAGTTTAAACTGGATGTATCTTGTTCTGTATTGAGTGGGTGTTCTCCTGACGCCTGATGGGGAAATTGGGAGATAATAATGCTCTGAGATATGTTAAGTTGAGCTGAACTATAGGACTACAGTCATTCTCTCTGGGAAACACCTCCTGAATTTTTCTGATAGGAGGACAGGCAAGATGGTAGATCCACCCTCAGAGGGTTCAAGCTTATGATGAGAAAGCAGATGCTATTTCTCTTCACTCCCATCCTTATAAACCCACCCACAGTCACTTCAGGGTTGACTTTTAGCAGCTGTCATTTTGAGAGCCTGGCACCAAAAGTACTCTTTTATCCTTTTGGTGGGAGCCTAGCTGCATCTCACCTTTACAGCCTCTATTCTCTTCCAGTGGTGGGAAAAACCTGCTGGTGATCAAATAATTTCCCACCAAACCTCCCTTGTTTAAGTCATTCCTTCCACAGGTCTCCACTGTTTTTATTTCTGGTACAGACTGGGGGTGGTGGTGCAGGAAACTCTTTCTTTGAACCTCATCCAAATAATCTCTTCCCGGGATAGTCCACTGATAATCACTTGGCACATTTATCTAGGCTTGCTTCCCTAGAGAATGTGCATCCAGCTGAGCTCACTGGTGTCCATTTTTTTTCCTTTTCATCTTTATGGATCTCCGTGGTGGGGACAGGTTCCCCAGATAATTCTTTGTTCTGTTCCCTCACATTTTTCATTACCGAGATGACGAAGAATCAACCAAAGGATGAGTGAATAGTGTAAACAAACGTTTCTGAGATCTGAATTTTTAGAGGTTTTTCTTTTCCCTTTGCAGAAAGGAGATGCTGCAGCCTTTAAGCAAGTAAGAATTATGCCTTTGTTTTCACCTCTCCTAGTCTGTCTGGCTTAACATGCCAGTTCAGGAGGTGGTAGAGAGAAAAGTAGCAAGAGTGACCATATCAAACATCATTCCTGGTAGGGAATTTGAAGTAAAGAAACTTCTCATCACTTCAGATCAGCCTTAGAGAGAGGCTTAGGGCACTGAGTTCTTGAATGACTCACCCGGGATCCCACAGAGGTGTTACTTGAACCCAGATCTTTTTCACCACGAGGCCAGCTTTTTCCATCATAGCACTCTGCTTCTTCTGTGGCCCTTAGCATTTGAGAATTTCAACCCTGCTCTCTAAGATGTACTCCAAGATGAGGAAATTCTCCCATTTTCCTTATCCTACTCACTTCCTGCTGAGACGTTAGTCTGAAGCAGGCCTTGGCAGCGGTGACAATGCTGACACATGGCCCCTTTGTCCCACTGTCGTTTATGGAGGTGGGAATCTACTGTTTGACACTGTACATGGCTGCTTCTTCGGCTATCAGACTCTTCTCAAAACCTGTTTCAGCACAGCATCTGTTAAATTAGCAAGCAATCTGGTCCTTTAGGAACTGCGTGTGTCTGCAAAAGAACTGTCTCTTCTTTTGCATGATCGTTGCAGAATACTTCATATGATTTAAGGGCAGGGGGAGTTTAAATGTTGTCCAAATGACCTCTATGATTTATGCTGAATGTGTGATGCCTGAGGTTTTGGTGCTCTGTTAATCTCCTGGGGTTGAGCTGAAATGAGGACTGTACCTTTTCTATACTCTGGACAAAACAGTATAACATGAAATAGACTTTGAGTTCCAAGACCTCCCCAAAAGAAGGATGAGCTTCCTCTGTCACTTTGTCCAGCAGAGGACATCATAGAGTCCCAGAATGCTATCATGTTATAAAGCCTGTTCCTTCATCGCCAGCAAGGTCTGTTAATATAGTCAGTTTTTTAATTCCCCCTACCAGTAGTAGCAGACAGTGGTATGGATAATCCTAATTTCTAGTGTTGTGAAATACATGATGTAATTTATTTTTCAGGCATATTGGGAAAGAGCCTTATAGATCATTTAGTGCAACTTGCTCAGTTTTACAAATGAGAAAAGAGAAGTCAAGCAACATAATCAAGATCACACAGCAAATTAGTGGTAGATCTGGAATCCGCGTATTCTTCCAGACTGAGGAGCCAGGAGTGAATCTCAAGAATTGTGATACCTAAACTCTCTTCTTTGTACCATGTGCCTTCATGGGACCACTCTCTATGTATCATTTTTTTTTAAATTTCTATTAATGATGGAGAGCAATGGTAGAGAGAATCCTAATTTCTATTGTTCTAGATTACATTGTTTGATTTTTAATGCAATGTTTTCCTTCCTTATGACATTGCATTTAAACTTATAGTAATGTTAGTATGCATTTACTGAGCTGTTCATTGGGCAGTGAATGGACTGGACAGTTTAGGAGCCTGGTACAGAACTAAAGTCATTCAATATAGTTTAGTGTTGTAGTGAATTTTTTCCTAACATGTAAAACCAAGTCTCGGAGTATCAATTACACATACAGTTAATATCAAACAATTTAACATTTGTTATTTAACAGGTGTTGGCTCTGTCAACCCAATTAGATTTTAAGTGACTTGAAGCCACAGGACTATGCTTTACATTGTCTGATAGCGTGGTATACTGGAAAAAGCTGGCTTCAAGATCGGAAACATCTGAGTTTAAAGCCCAACTCTTGACATATATAATTAGCTAGGTGACCCTGGACAAGTCACTGAACCTCTCAGTACCCTTAGCAACTCTGAGACTATAAGGTACAGAGAAGGTAAAAATCTGCGTTGTTAAAGATAGTTTCCTCCTAGGTAGTTCAATACATTGATGAAAATAGAGTTCTAGACAGCATTGTCGAGCATAGTGCTAGACTCATAGTAGATACTCTGCTAATACTTGTTGATTCAGTTTCTGAAGATGGGGATAATAATAACAGCTGCTTCACAGGGTTGTTGTGAGGGTCAAATAAGATAATATTTATAAAGCACTTAGCATAGTGCCTGGCACAGAATAAAAGCTTGATGAAAAACTTCCATCCATCTTTCCATTCAGTGGCTTATGTGACTTTGAGCAAATTAATCTCTGGTTCTCAGTTTCCTTGTTGGTAAATTGGAGAGGATTGAACTGGGTGATATATCTTAATATCTAATATTTAAATTAAGTATTGTCTAAATATCCAAGTCCCCAAAACTGTGATTTTATGATTGCATAGGGTGGGAAGGAAGGGTTGAAGATAACCTCAGGTCATGAATAACCATGTTTGACTTTTCTCTTGATTGTGATGCAGGGTGTGCCATGTGTAAGCGGATGATGCCATCTTTCCAGCAGGCGGCCACAGAACTGAAAGGCACCCATGTAAGTGAGATGCTATTTGCTGGGCACTAGGGTTCAAGTCTTTATTGAAGGTCAGGGGAGGGAATGTTGTATGAGCAGAGGAAGGGGGAAAGAGACATTTTAGGACATAGAAGCATTGACTCCGACCCTAAAGCTGGTGGTTCTGCTGAATGGAAAAAAAGGCCCTATGTACACTTAGTGTAATACAGGGCTAAACATGTTCTGTGATGTGAGAGATCTCTCAGTTCTTCAAAGAAAAGCCATTCTGGGGAGTCAGCAGCAGGCTGGTGCATAGCCTGGAGATTGGGGGAGTCCACTGCAATCCAAAAAAGTAACAGATGAGCAAATAGTGAGGACAATACAGATAGTATATAAGCAGGTCAGGAATCATCTGTGGAGTGGACCATTCCAGCAGTAGTAAACCAGAAATAGTGACGTTATGGGGAGGGAGAATGAGTCACAAGGGCATTAAAACATCTAGAGCAAGTGGTCAGAGATTCAGTGAAGATAGAAGGGACAGGCCAATACCAATATCTAAGGTTAGGATCATGAAGTCGTCTGCATAAAGCTGATAGTTAAAGCTGTAGGAGTAAATGAGATAGCCAGAGGAAAAAGGATGGAAAGAAGAAGGAGAGAGAGAGTTAAGGTCAGAACTTGGAGGTACCTTCACTTTAAGAAATTAAATTCTAAAGTCATAAAGGAGAAGGAACTATCAAAGAGGTAGGCATAAGAACAAGAAAACATGGTTATCTCTGAAGCCAAAAAAAAAAAAGAGAATTTCCAGAAGGGATGGAGTGGTCAACAATGTCAGCTTACTACATAGAGATCAATCAGGATGAGAATGAGAAAAAGCCAGTGGGCTTGAAAATTAGGTCACTGGTGACTTTTGATACAGTGGTGGGGGATCAAACAGATTGCAGAGGATTTCAGATGTAGACCACTTCTCCCAAAAATTTGATAGTGAAAAGATAGGACTAATTGAATAGGATGGATGGGGAGAATCGAGCATATTTATAAATAGATGGGAAGGAGCCAAGGTAGAGAAATTGGAAGACAAAAGAAAGAAGATGGTGGAGTAGGGTCCTAGAGGAAATGGAAGAGAAATGCAATCAAAAGCAAAAATAGAAGGATTAGCCTCATTCAGCGTTAGAGATATCTCTTCTTTTTTCACCAAAGGAAAGGCAAGAGTTAGTAATGATGCTGAGTTTTTCAGAGTGGGGGAGGGAAGTGGAGAGAGCCCATATTTGATGGCCTTAGTCTTTTTATTAAAATAGATTTAGCTCTCTTTTTAAGGGTGTGTTTGAGGGCTATATTTGAGAGATTGAGGAGTAGGGAAAAAGTTTAAATTGATCATAATCTACTTAATGGAAATAAAGTTGGATGAGAAGCATGTGCCCTAATCATGGGGTCTGTTTAGAGGACAGGGATTAACCTATTTTGGCCTGGAGCATGGGGAACATGGACATGGGGGCATGGTAAGGGATAAAGTTAGGCCATGTTGTGGAGGGCCTTAGGAAGTTTAATCTTCCTCAAGGTTGAATTGGAGGGTGAGCCTGGAGACAGGCAGGTCAGTTAAGTGGTGTTTGTCCTAGTTCCAGAAGGAAGCAGAAATGACTTGAACTAGAATGGCGACGGTAAAAATGGAAAGGAAGGGATGGATCCAAGAGATATTTTGAAGAATTGATAGGACTCAGGGATTGACAGCAGGGGTGAAAGAGAGGAGAAGAATAAAGCATTACTGAGGTTGCAAACCTGGGTGACTGGGAGAATAATGGTGTTATTGAGAAAAATAAGCATCAGGTGGAAGAACTGACTTGTTGGGAGGGAAAGTATCATGGAGGGGGGCAGTTGAGTTTGAGTAAAAGGTGGGATATTTGACTAAAATACAGGACTGTAGTTTGGATGAAAACTCAGGACTGGAAATGTTCATTTGGGAGCAGTTCGCATTGAGATGATAACTAGAGCTATGAGAAAGAATGAACTCTCTTGGGCAGGGCAGTAAAGGAAGAAAAATAGGACCAAGAACTAAACTTTGAGGAAGGCCTGCATTTGGGAGGAATTAAAAAGAAACATCAAGAAACAGCCGAATTTGGGAGGTTATTCTAAGAATTTATCTCTCTGGTTGGTTAAGTTTTTCTTCCTATCTTTCCTACTTAATATGTGAGCCTATTTCCTCTTGCTTTGCCTCAGTGTTAATTAAGAACAACTAATCACTATCCCTTTCATGAAGACCTTTTAAATACTTACTGCCTTAGGTTTTAAGGTTAGAAGGAACTTTAGCAATTATCTAGTCCAGTCTTTAATTTTATAGATGAGGAAACACTCCCTGGGAAGTAGCATGACTTGCCCAGGGTCTTACAGATGGTAACTTAATTTTTAAAATGTAAAACTTTTGTTACAAATGAACCTCTAAGCTCTTAAGTTTTAAGGAATTTGGCATTTCAATTTTTTGGTTATGATTCTTCTGGCATATGAAAACCAGGCATGCTGGAGAACAGAGGAGATGGAGTCATCAACCTGATTGACAAAACAAAAAACATATGTTCTCTGGGCCTGGTGTCCTTCATAGTACCGGGTATATTAAACACTTACTTTCAGAAAAAGCCATAAGAAACAAGAATCCACTCCCACCTCTTCCTCTTCCCCACCAAAACCCAAACAAACCAACAACTCCTTGCATCCAACATTTTGCTGGGTGGGACATTGTATAAACTTGGTAGCAGTTTCTCTCCCTTCTTCTGATGTTTTAAAAATCATCTTCAGGTACTCATGAAAACTACAGCCTTGATTTAATTGAGGCAAGCTTCTCCTACTCTGTTAGGTTATTTCTTAATTTGCTTTGAGTATTTCAAACAGCAGATTAGCCTTTTTCACATGCCACAATAATAGATGAATCAAAGCAAGAATAGTCAGAAGCTGTCTCATGCTGTCACGTTGAAAGAGTCATATTCTTGGCAAAATCCCAGGCTGCCTTACAAGATGGGACATCAGAAGGTGCTCTGTATTCTGTATTTTGTAATCCAGTCAGACAGCAGCAGAGCCCTCTTCACTCAGGTTTTTGCCTTTGAATAATGGGATCCAAGAGATTGGTAGCAATGAACTAGGTGAAGATAGAGTTCTTCCTGTCTAGTCAAGCCACTCCCATTATTTCTCTCCGTGTATATGGAAATACACTGAAACTCTGGAAAGCAGTTGCTGTTCTGGGAACTGTTAGATAAAGATGTGTCACAGAGACGTGATTTGTGTCCAGAACCTGCTGAAGTTGCCTCTACGTGAATCTTCAGTCAGAGCAAGTTCTTTGATTGAAGCCAGAAAAAGTTCCTATTGAATACTGTACTCCTTGCACTTGTGGTGATTTTAAAGAGCCTCTCCTCTTATTTTCTCTCAGATAGCTTGGTTTTTTAGTAACTGGCAAAGGACATTTCTTATTACCACGGTTTACCGCAGAATTTGTACCTCTCTTTGATTTTTTTTCACTCTCTTCTTGCTTCTGGAAGGCAGCAGCTCTGTTAGGAGTTTTTACATGACTTGTATCTTCTTGGTTACTGTCCCACATGTCACCCCTTCATTTTCCTCTCCATTCAAGTGAACCTCTTTGCTCCTTCCATCTGCAGACTCAGACCTGAGCACTGTCCTCCCTTAGCAGGAAGTACAGGTAGGTGATGCATTTACCTCTCACTTAAGCAAATTGTCTAACATCTGCTTTGGCTTTGGCAGGTGACCCTCCTTCCCTTTCTTTGCACTTTCTCTCCCCTCATGCCTCCCTTTCACCCTTGAAGCTGCAGACCCAGTTCCTGCTTGGAACTCATTCCCTGATTTCCAACACCATCTTCTCCTTAATGGAGTCTTCCAGAGTCTCTAGTGACCTTGAAGAGACAGCTCCCAGCTCTGTTCCTTTACATTCTCCAGTCTTTCTGATAGTATAGCTCATGTCTTCCTTGCCCCTAAGTCCTGGCCCTACCTCCTATAGTGAAAGAATAATACCCTAATGTTGTCAAGAAATAGATTCTTAAACAGAAATTTAAGTGTTTTTCTGAAATACAGGTCAGTCTTCCTGTAACTCTTTGTGTATCTAGAGACTGACTGTTATTACATTTCCGTCAGGTCTTTTGTCTTTTGGTCAGTCAGTCAGTGAACATTGTTAACAGTTTATGATGTGCCAGGCACTGTCCTTTTACCACAGGGCCTAAGTAAAAAGATAAGGGAGATGGGAGAGCCATTGAAGGCAGCCTTATTCACAAGAGGAGGAACCAGCGACACCACCTAAATTAAAAGAAGTACAAATAATTAGGGATTCTCTCAAGAGTAAAGATAAGCATGTGGTTATGGTTTGAAAATATCAAGCCTAGTATCATTTGCCTTTTAAGGACTCCTGTGAGACTTTGAAACTTAAAACTTTTATAGCTTCCTTGTTTTTGTTTGCACTAAGAGCCCCAAAGACTGTGTGCTTGTTTCAGGGACAGGAGGGTAGCAGATAAGCTATGAGACTGGGTGGATCAGGGAAAGCAAGAAATCCTCATTAGAAGGTCCAAGCCCTAATAGTGAAAAGGGAAGCACCAGGCCAAAAAGACAAGAAAAGGAAAGAAGTGAAATGGGCAACGACTTGGGGCAAAGGAGAGCTGGAACTAGAACTAGGCAAGATAGGTAGCAGCCTTGGACGTGGTGCTGGCAGGGTGTCACGAGGGACACTTTTTTTGCTTGTTTTTTTGTTTTTTTTGTTTTTCTTTTTTTGGCAAGGCAATGGGGTTAAGTGACTTGCCCAGGGTCACTCAGCTAGTAAGTGTTATGTGTCTGAGGTCAGATTTGAACTCAGGTCCTCCTGAATCCAGGGCTGGTGCTCTATCCACTGTGCCACCTAGCTATCCCTGCTTGTTTTTTTTTTTAAGTTTTTATTTTTATATTTAACTTTTTTTTTTTTAATTTTGAGACTTGAATTCTTTCTCTCCCTTCACTCCTCTTGCATTGAGAAGGCAAAACAATATGATATCAATTATGCGTGCAAAATCTTACAAAACATATCT